TATTGTAGATTGTGTATTTGGCATATAAGTGGAAGTGATATCATGCGGTTGTGGTTGATGTGGATGTAGATGTAATGAATGAGATGGATATGGTGACATTTGAGTAACATGAGGTGCTGATATTTGTGACTGTTGTCCTTGTGGTTGTTGATGATGTTGAAATGCTGGTAGTGTTTGTGTTTGTTGTGCAGGTGGAGTGATACCTTCTCCCGGGTGAGTTAATGGTGGTGGTGGTGACATTGGTGTAGAGGCATTTGTTGTAGTTTGAGAAGTTGGTTTTTGCCACATACGAGCTTTCATTCTTGCCTAAATTTGTAAAAGATCCTTCCAGTAACTAAAACATTGAACGGAAACAAAAAAACTTACCAGAACTTTTTGTCCTCTTATCGATACATTTTCTCTTGTCAAATAAACAAATGCATGTTGGGCATCGTCTTCAGAAGCAAACGTAACATACCAACAATCTGTCTCTCCCACCCTTTCACAATCAATACATTTTGCAGGACAACGTTCGTTATTAAATAATTCAGAAACTTCCTATAATAATACAACAGAAGAACATGCAGTTTAACATGATCGTAATTCACTATTAGCAAACGTACCGCTGGATCGTTCACGTCAACTGGTATCTCACGTAAGATAATAATACAACGTTTTCTAGCTGGTCTCACTTTTTGTTCATCCGCATCAACTTCAACTGATGGTAATTCTAAAAAATAACGAGAAGAACAACTGAATACAATTTTTTTGACATATGTATAACATACCTTTTAGAATATCTGTTACTAATTGTGTATCCGTCGTCAATTTTTTAATTAGTTTAAAATTAGCTATGGTACTAATTGGAACATATTTATCAACAGGATCCATTTGAGACTGAAGATAATAGTCATTTGCCATATTTTCACTGAAATAATGCAAAGAAACGATATTTCAGACATAAAATATTATTCATAAACAAAAACAAACCGTGAAAAATAATATTCTAATTGTTGACGTAGTGGTTGACGAATCTGATCATGCGTTTGTTGACGAGTTGTTGATTGCTCATCGTCTACGAATGTAAAAAAAAACATGTTTAATTTAGCTGCTATGCGTGACGTTTTCGTAATGAATGGTAATGAGAAATTGTGAATGAAAACGAGTCCCAAAATCAATCTTTCTTGTTGCTTAAAATGTTAAAAAATGCTTCACAAAAACATTTATAAAGAATAACTTGCTTAAGTCATCCATTATACTAATGACGGAACATTGTCATGTAATTCTGCAATTTTTTCTCAGAGTATATTTTATAGCAGGTAGGTTTTGATGCTGATCATGAATCTGATAGTCATTTGTCTCCATAGGTCCTTTTTGAATGTGTTTACAGGAATCAGGTTTCTAGAGGACCAGCATGCGCTTCCAATCAAACATTCTGATACTGTAAGATTGTGGAATAGATCGAGTTACTCATGTAGATAGGTTTTGGAGATCAAGGGATCAATTTCTGTAAAATTGTACAACTTTTAGATCTTAATTTAACGGAAAACGTACGCTTTTTAGCTTTTATTTCAGAGAACGCTTTATAACTCTACAGAAATTGATCCCTTGAACAGTAAACAGGTTGAGACACGCACAGTAATTAAAGAACATGTAGCCTCATCATTTTTCTGTTGTACGACGGTAATTGAAATTTCCTGTCAAAAAACAGTGTCCATTTCATTAATAGTTTCTTCTTTTAATCGAGCACTCAGATCAAATTTGCACATTTGACTTAATTTTCTTTTTGTATTTGTCTTTTCCTCTCACACACAATTCTCTTCTTAAGTATCTTCATTTTTTGTTTTTTCTGATTTTTATTCTTACTCTCTTTTTGCGGTTGTCCTTTTCTTTTCGGTGCAGGTGGCACTATTTATTATAAGTCCTTGGCTTTTGGTGCTTTTCTTTGTATTTTTTATTTCTGTACGAGATCTTATTACATAAAATATAGTTCAGTTCTCTTAATCTCCAAAACTTATCTACATGAGCAACATGATCTACTCTACAATCTTACAGTATCAGAATGTGTTTGATTGGAAGCGCACGATAGTTCTCTAGAAAGTCGGTTCCTATCGGCTCGTCCAAGGGAGCTATATTTCCTGTCTGAATTTAGAAGACTTTCATCGAAAAGTATTTTGAAACACTACAGGTGGAAGATGAGAACATCAGATAATAATGCATCGGAGATCCGATACTTTTTAATTCTTTCACAACAAAAGCTGTTATCAAATTAATCTTGTTCAATAGTTCTGCAGATTGAATACTCCCAAGACTATTCAGCCAAGGTCACAAATTCATGTCTTTCTTATAGATACACTATTACTGATGGAAATCTTGACAAGGTATAAATATTTACAATTCGTTTCATTTTAACGAATTATTTTTTAATAGAACAACGATTGAAGTTTTTTGAAAAAAAAATTCTACTGAACAATTAACAAGCCTAAATTAGTATTAAAGTATTCGTGATCAGACGACTTTCGGGAGCAGAAACAAAACGTGAGACTGATAAGAAAATAAATTTCGATATGAAATTCCAATAGATTACCTCTTAAAAGTAAACTTTTGTCATACATCATTCTTTTTTAAAAAACATTCGACAGTTTATTAAATAAAAGCGATAATTAACTAATTATGTATTTAGAGAAACCATCTGTCATAAAAATAAAAAGAAAACAAACGATAGCCGGAAAAACATTATTTTACGTTTGTCAGAATATATATCTATACATATTCATTGTTATAAATTTAATATCTTGCTATGCCATTATACAATATACGTATAAGAAAGAGAAAAATGAGAGAAGAACGAAAAGAAAAAGATATTCTTTTGATTCAAACCAGACGACGATATAATCTACTCTTCTTTTTCGCTCTTCATGATACTATCTTTCGCGTCATAGTCAATAAATTTTTTCAGATATTAATATGTTTATCCGTCTTAAACAGTAGAAACTAAAAATATCTTAGAACATTATTGTTGATCAACTTTTCAAGAATATATTTCGTCCAATATTTTTAAAACCAATATACACTGTAACTGGACGATGACATTGACTCTTCGTTTCTACACAAATGTAGGAGACATATTAAATGAACAATCAAATCAAACGTGTTAAAAGGTAATATTAAATGACAGTGGTTCTTACACCTCAATTGTCTTTTTTTTTTATTCTTTGTTATATATAGTTACGTAAAATTAGTTGACAAGTTATTAGATTATAAATAATAATGATTGATGATTTTTTTCTATCATTTAAATATGCACTAATATCGATCATAGAACAAATTATGTCAAATATAATTTTGATTGGATTAACACAATGATGATTTTTAACCTTAAACAAGATATCTTTAGCTTTTCCTTTCTCTCTCCAACAAACACAAAAAATTACGTAAAACAAGTAGATCCAAAGAACATTTATGAAATCAATGACAACCAATTTCTTTGTACTGTTCAATAAAGTAATCAACCGGTCAAAAGTTAGCTTTTTTTTCATTTTTATCCAAGTATTTGTGATTTCGTCAAAATATCTCGATGCTTTAGTTATTTTTTACTTTTCTATCTAGAAGTTCTAGGTGAAGCATCAAATTAGCTAACCGCATTGTTTGATGTATAGGTCAACTAGGCCGCTAATATCAAGGTGTGGCGAATAATTGATAATTTTGTGTTTTTTACAAAAGGTTATTAAAAACTTTGTTTCTTCACTGTCTCTATGGACTCACTTCATGCGAACTATCTTTGTTTAATTCGCACTACCTCAGAGACACATTCAGTTTTACACACCCGTAGCGTTTCACCCCTATTTGCGGCACGGAATCCAATACGTTTGGATGCACTAAGTTCCGTCCGATGCAAAATGTTAGTTCATGTGCAATGTAATTCAGTTGCATCGAGAGATTTATCCTCATGATTTACTTGCGATTCGTCCCTAATTGCTCACTCTCGCTTTTGATATCACTTTTGATGTTGTTTGATCTTACAAAGCTAATTAGGGACGAATCGAGAGGACACCATATGCATCCTATACATTGATCGGTGAATTGACGACCGAGACCAATTCATTAGGCTATACTCGATGCTTTTTCCATGGTTGAATAGCACATAAGTAATATCGCAGCCAGATATGTTCGTTACATACTCGAAATATATTGAAAATAGTTAAAGAAATAAAACATCTTGTTGCAGTCATTATCAATCACACATTTTTTATTACTTTATTGTTAGGAGAAACTAAATCTGTACCTGGTGTTATTCCGGAGTGATACATTTCGATGTTTGTCGGTGATATCACATTTGTTGGCGCTAAATCCAAAGAAGTATGGTCCGAAACAACTGACATTTGTTTATAACCCGGAATAACATAGTTGGATCGATGTTGTGCGTAAATTAATTCTGATGATTGGTCAGCTAAAATGACATAAAACAAAAACGTTTTAGTCTAGATTAACATTTGAGTTACATGTTCAACATAAGAAGTAAAACTCCATAATCAGACGTGCTTTATAGAAATAAAATAGAAAATTGTAATGATTAAAATCATTTGTCGAGCGTGAATTCTGAGAGAAGCGTGACCGAAAACAAAAATAGCCAAAATGTGCAAGTAAAGAAAAATAGAACTTGACATTTATATTTGCTTATTTAGTTATCCATATGATAAAATTTTTATTTGGATCGATATAATCCTTTTGTCGAGTAGATATAATTATATTTCAAAAAATTTAAACATTTTTAGCTGTTTACGTTAACATTTAAAGAGAGAAACTCTGGAGCTTTAATTAAACGTTTAGTAATCGCAGTGTTACAAGAATTAGGTGAATCCAGAACGAGAATGAAAAAATAGACATTTATGATTTCAGAATCTCAGATTGAAAGCATCACACAGAATGTTTCAAAAGCAAATTATTTTTAGAATAATTTGACACAATCAAAAAACAAAACAAAGCAAAGAATAAGGTTTATTTTTTAGATTTAAACAATGGGCAATGCTTTTTTGTTCTTATCTTATCATTAACATACCGTCCAAATAATAGTCTAAATAATAAATCAATTTTTACAAGTTGATGAAAAAAAAAAAGAAGAAATTATTTCTTTTTCACAAGAATCTACCTGTTGGTCGAATATAACCAGTACCATAATCAATTATATTTTGATAGTCTGCATCTAAATAATTAACTAATAATAAATCAAATTTTGAATTCTATATTTTTTCTAATCATACACTATCACACATAAACATACTTGTTACTGTTCCATGTTGATCGATTGATGAAAATTGTGCCGCATTTGGATTCAGATTATTTGTATTTACCTGAAAATAGTAAAAGTAATTAGAAAAATATGTTGTAGACATATTTACAAGAAGAAATGAGTCATCTATATTTATCAATGATAAAGATACAGTAAAGAGAAAAATATTATCTCTTTTTCTCTTACGTGATATAAATATGATGATCTATCTATCAAATTATCTTGTATATCATTATTTATCACAAGGTTATTATCAGTTTTATCAACAACATTGTTATGATCAGCAGTCGTTTCTTCATCTGTTGGAATATAGGCATTTGTAATACAAAAAATTATTTCTTTATTGTCAAAATCAGATGTTACGTAAGAATTGTACCCATGTAATTGTACTTCAAGTATTTTACTCATTCAAGCCAACAAAGCAATAGTCAAGTCATTCACATATTAAAGAGAGAAAAGCGAAGAAAGAAAAAACAATAAAACCATTTAGTATATAAAACAATTGTGTGAGAAGAACACGAAACAAAAATTTATATTGTTGTGTTATATTCTGTCATCATCATCACCAACAACATGATTACCTCTCCCAAACAAATAGGCTTCATCTTAAAATGTTTAAATGTATAAATGTATTGTTCAAGGTAATTCATATTATATATCTAGATTAAATATAGAGAAGAAAAAAAAAGACTAAAATAAATCTTTCTGCGTATTTTGATATTCCGAAAACAACAACAGCAAAATTTCTACTTAAAAAGTCAGGAAAAAAAATGAGGAGGTAGACAACGGTGACGTATCCAAAAAAGTTTTTTCGATGGAGGAACTACGAAAATTATCTTATGTATCTTTCATTCGAAGGATACAAGAGAAAATTGAACTGAACCTCAAAATATCACTGAACGTTCACATATGCACATATTCAAATAGTCCAGTGTCTACTGGCAGAATCTATCAAGTTTAGTATAAACCACTCACAGAGAGATGGCATATGAGTGCATCTCATTGGAGTGGTAGTCTCATTTCGATGGTTTTTCATTACACTATTCATTCTATAAACGATTTTGAAAAGCGAATTCGCAAACGACAGTATAAATGCATCAACTCTTTTTTTAATGCTCCTCAAAAGTGTACTAATAAATTGTCAATCACACATCTCCTAGTGGTTTTCATGTATTTGAAAAATCGTAATAGTTCCGTATTTTTCGAATGAAGAGACACAAAATGACACAAACACATTTTTCACTTTTTCAACATGTCTGGTGGAAAAATATCAATTTTTTTGAAACGAATATCTGGCAAAAAGAAAAAAGGTTTGAATCGAAGAAACTGTTCGCATCATTTTCTATGTCTACGTTTCTAGTTCGATTTAGAGCAGACCCGATGCATGTTTGCAACTATCATTCACTACCATTGAGATTTTTATGTCGTGTGGTAATACAAGAGCGAATAATCTCACTTTAAGTGCAGTGGAACCATCGATTTCTTTATTTGGACCTGGCGACACTTCTAACGTTTCTCAACAGGATCTATGCACCCTTTAAGAGACATTCTCCAAAAATTTATAAACATATATATGTGTTTAATGGATTATCAAGCTTCTCTGGAACAATGAGTTAATTTCATATTGGAAATCAGTATGTGTCGCTCTTTTTCACATTAGCAAATGAAAAAACTCATGATACTGTTTTCAGACAAACAAAATTCGTGTTGATGGCAGAGGGTTAGACTGAACAGACGGATTTTTTCACTATTCTTTAGACATTAAATCTCAACATTAGAACCTATATAATGATCATAAGATCACTTTTACTGCTATTTTCTAAAAAATATTTACACCGTTTCATTTCAAATCTGTGAGTAAGAGGTACGAATAACTACTGTTGCAGAAATTATTGATTTTCTAAAAATATACTCGTACTACACCTGCTCATGTCAATAATTAACGAAAATAAAAACGAATCTCGATTCTATTATATCCATTACTCAAAAGTTTTTCAAATAAAAATATATCTTTTATTTAAGAAAATGAAGAAAGAAAAGTTTTTCAGTTCCAAATAAAGACGACATATTTTTTATTTCGTCTTTCTCCTTATTTATGTATGTGTTTTTGATATTAGTATAATAAGAGAGACTAAAAAAGAAAAGAAATAGTCATATGCCACATCACGTCATCCTAACTACCTACGACAATAACTCCAGCGGCGACAGCAGCAACAGTAAAAATAACAACAAAGCGATAATGCTCTTAGTTTCAGAAGTAGTTAGTAGGAAGAACAGAAAAAGGAGAGCAGAAATAACAAAAAATATCCAGGATTTTATTGCTTCTTTTTTCTTGTTTGTATGATATCAGGTAAATGATTAAAAGCAATATATACAACATTTACAACACAGAAACGTTTTAATTAAATTGAACAAGTTACTTATATGTGTAAGCCGATCATAAGCGTACATATCTGTTTCCTAAATATTAAAGATTTTTGACCTCGGTTTTTTATATTTATTTAATAAAGCGTTTGTGGACAAAAAACGATGTAAGATTAAAAGCTTATTTCCTCTCAATTGAAAGATCGTATTTAGGTGAAAAACTGCTTCAAAACCAAGTAACACCTAAAATGGTAGACAGACACCTCTAACAAAATAGCTTCGATTTTATCTCCAATTCACACAATGGCAAAATCCTTTTGTGTGTATTAGAACACTATTTGGACTAGTTTTATTTTTAGATTCTAAATATATTAATAGATTTTGTTGAGGACGTATGTTGAGTGAAGAAAATCCACATTATTTTTGAACAATTTAATGATTTTTTGAAACTTTTAACTGTTTCGCAGCGTACATTCAGAGAATGTTTTTTTGTCAGAAACATACAATAATAAAATAGAAAATCGTTTACTCTTTAGAGAACAGATATACTTCAGACTTTCAGACTTTTTGACCACAAACATTTTAGTAAAGAAGCATCGGAGGAATTCCTTGTAAGCTTAGAAATCTGAAGACTATTCCTAGCCTAATACACATATAATAGCCGATGTACTTTGCATCATCGCTCATAAAGGAGTACAACATGAAATTTTGTTATACATTTTGTTTATACGATGTGTAGCCGGTAGTCATAAAGTGTCGCATCCACTTCATCGAAAACGATGGATGGGAACAACAACAAAGAAGCATCAAAATCGAATAATTGCAATATCCAGGGAGCAAACAGAAATCAGATACAGCGCAATGTACACCAGTGTAAGACCTACACATGCATATATATATATATATATATATATATATGATAGATTCTCTTAAGTGGCAATATTCTTTTTGTTCAAATGTCTCTAAAACTTGTATTCTTAATCTTCATTGTTGTTTGTTGACAATTTAAAAAAGTATAATTAAATTTTAAAATAGAGAAAAGAGAATATTATGCATTGCTATATCATTCATACACACGCGCACATACATAAACCGTATTACTCTATTGACACAATAGAATACAAAAGACATTTAGTTTTCTTTCCAGCAAAAATTTTAGAAAAATTGCTCTAAGCAAAATAGAAAAAAGTATTAATGGACTTAATTTAACGATATACATATGTTTCTCCATTTAAAGGTGTCTCATTTAAATCAAGTAACAACTTCAAAGTTAATTCAAGGCATTTTGTAGAAACACATACCAGAGGTGAACGAGTACACACACAAGTACAAAACAGTTTTACTCGAGTGCAAATTTTTTAAAAAAAAAAACAGGATTGTCGTCTGAACACTTATCGTGTAATGATAGTATATCGATCAGTCTTGTCTGAAGTCCTTTTTGTTTTAGTTAAACAGATTTTCATCCAAGTACTCGAGTACTTTTTTTGAGTATGCATTAAAAAAAGTCACGAGTACAAATATCTAAAAATTTGTATTCGAGTATACTCGTACTCGTCCATCTCTGACGCATACAATAAAATTTTGAAAACGCATTGGACAAAGTCTGGATCTGCATTCCAGGATCATTTGGCTAAGTGTTTTAAACACTAATCAATTTTCTTTGCCTTTCATTTTACAGTTTTCTTTTTATTTATTTTAGACAAAATTGTTTTCGAAATTGCTACATCTCTGCGTGAAGTTAAAGAGTTAGAAGACGATACACCATATTCTGAAACCGCAAAGAAGAGAGAAGAAAGGAAATCGTGAAAATTTATGCCCACAATTGTTTTATGATGAAAAAACACTCCTAATGTTGAAATATATACTACTACATAAGATTTATCTTCTATCTAGCTGTACACGCACATAGAACTGTACTGATTACTATAGAACATTTAAAAGAAAATAATAATAGCTTACTTGTGGCTGCATCATTAGTTTTTAATTTTTTTTCAACAATATAAATAAGAAAAGATATAGCTAAGTTTTAAATTAAATTAAATAAGAAAATAGAATAATAATTGTACTAATTTTGTTCGTTTGTGTTTTGTTGAGTATGAGTAAAAAATAAGATCAAATAAAGAATACGAAAAACGAAGTCTTATTACTGTTATAGATTCTGATGAATTTATAGTACTGTAATCGAGAGATGATAGCAAAAAAATGAATTTTTTAACAAAAAATAAATGGTAATAGTTTAATCTCAATATAATTTTTCTACATACGTAATAAATAAAAAGAAAAACGAATATTAACGACGATAATAGAATATCAATGGATAATAAATAGTAAAACAAATGAATATCTAAAAACACAAAAAATATCACACAAAAAATTTCTTTTACAAAGTTAAACTCTTACCTTTAAACTGTATTAATGATTTCAAAGATAACTTAAGGAGACTGCCGACAAAGAAGTGTTTGTTTTAATGAAATGGAAAGGAATGTTTACATTCAATAACAACAAGAAATGACAACGAGGATGCCACACACACAATTTTCATTCATAAACCTAAGATTAGAAAAAGAAAAAAAATAATATTTGTTTATAAGACAGCTGAGATCAAAATGGCTACAATTCTCACTTACCATTTAAATAAGACATGTTGCTGTGTTTGTTCATCACTAATTATGTAAAAAACAATTCATGATAGTTGAAACAATATAGATACTATAACGTTCCTTAAAATAAAACAACAATAAACATTAGACACATCTAAAATTAATTGTGATTGAATTGCGAGAAACAAGAGTCCAGTCTTAAACTCACTTTAAACTGCTGTATAATTTTTACTTTCTTTCGTTTTTAAGAAAAACAAAGTTGTCTTACGGACGCGTTTGTTTTTTTGGTGAAGATCAAAAATTTAATGCTAAACTTTAGAACTAAAAACAAATATGCGATTGGTATGTAGAACACAGAGAGAGAGAGAGATAAAATACTGTCTTAGTCGAAAATTTGGTTCTCATAAAAAGCTAAGCTACGTCACATGAAAGTGAATTCTATTGAACGTTATGAATACAAAAAAAAGAATTAAAATTTTTCTTTAATGGTGCTCTCTACTGACGAACCCATAAATTTTCTCTCTTAGTAACATAGGAGGCAACCACAATTCATCGAAAGTGAATGGCCTCCGATAATCCATAGAGTGCTATCTGATCTCACGGCCGTATCGATATTCTGAGAATCTACTCTACATGATATTACCCTTGGGCAATAAACTTTAAAACCAATATTTGTTGTCAAGCAGAACTCAAATCGTCATCCATTAAGTCAGATAAGTGCATATTATCCAAACATGTATGCGTTTCAGTTAGATTATTCTATTGTTCTCAATTTCCCATATATATGCCGAGAAAAATGTTTCGTGAATAATACAAACATACGTAAAACTTTTTTTATCCGGTTTAAACACCCGTGAGGTGCAAAGTCTCTTTTCTATTCGTTTCTAGCTTACGTATACGTAATATCTATAAAAAAAACTACTAAACTATCCAGAAAAATCAGGATAAAAATATAGCAGTACCGTTATAAACGTATGACTATATCTGAGAAATTAATTAATGTAGTGCTACGCTTTTAGCGTTCAATATTGTTATTTGAGTACGACATTATCACACTTTTACTATGATATCATCTCTATATTTAAGACAGGACTTAGCATAAGTGCAGTAACATCATGTCAGTGTTTTTTTTCATGAGGTAGCATGACGGAACATCACTATGCTGGGAAATAAAAGACAAGATTAATTAGAATTACAGGATACGTTAAGACTGAGCGCAGCATTTCTAATTCTCATTAGATGGGTATGACGTGCCGATACATTCCGCTTCGGAACCGAAAGTATACGAGTATATTCTGTTTTTCAAAACAAAGTGTATCAAAATTAAAAAATCTCATAACGCTAAAACAGAAAAGATTGTTTTTTCATCCTGCTTCCTATACAGCCAACAACGTTATTCTTCATGTCTATATGAATATATAAAATACAATGATTCTGACTAGGGATGTTCGGTTTTCAGTGCTTGTGAAGAACCGGAACCACGCTATCGGTTCTGACAATGGAGCCGGAATCTCGATTCTCTTATTTCCGATTTTCTATCGGAAGCCGAAATCGCGGTTTCTCAGACGATTCCTTTTTTTCGGAACCGAGACTTTTTGACTTGCCTTTCTTTTAACAAGATAAAAACACACTATTGAAAAAGCTACAGAAAGATATATTTGCCTGTCATTTGAAAGAATCCTTTCGTTTACCATAAAATGAATTCTATTTCGTTGAATTGTTATTGCCTGAAAAATTATTTTCCTGTTCTAAGCTGAGAATCGAGAACCGCGGTTCTGTTCTAAGTTCGCAACCAGACCCGCGGTTTCTTTCGTTTCAGTTCAAATTCGAGAACCGGAACCGAACTTCCCTAATTCTGACTGTTTTTCTCACGATTCTGAATATTGTTTTCGACGAGAGTCACGATTTTTGTTTGCTGTTTTGCATGATATAAATGTCAATGAATTTTTAATAATTTTTTCACTCAATTGTAGTGATTGCTAGGCCGCTCTCAGTTTCAAGTCAGATGCTAATTCGTTTTGTTAATATTCGAAATTGTCTGTCTGTGCACTGTTTTCTTTTTATGGCAAGAATAATGCAAAAGACGATGCTGATGCTGTCGTTAAATTTCTTAGAACAAAAGTATCCAATTTTGAATTTTTATTGTCACTGTTCATATTTATTTCATTTAAAAATGTATAAAAAATACAACAAATACAGTAAAATTAACAAATCAGTACTTTAAAAAATTGACCAATATAACATTTGTCAAATTTCTCCGAGATATCAGAGGACAGTGCCGTTTCTGTTTTGGTGATATAGTGAATGTATTTTCGTTGTGTTAATTTGGATAGGATAGTTATGAGGCTAACCTGAGGTATTCTTCTTTTGTTTTGTCTTTTTGTACCACTATCCATCTATTGCGATCATGAATGTTAGTCGAGACGTAGACAGGTTAGTAGAATTGTTAGTAGGTGTAGACTAGGACTGTAAAAGTTCCCGTTACTTCTTCAACCGTTATCGACAACGGTAACTGGAAAGACAGTTACCGTTATTTTAACAATAACTGCCTTTCCAGTTACTGTTGTTTTAACGGTAACCGCCTTTCCAGTTACCGTTAAAATAACGGTAACTATCAGTTAGTTAACTTTACGCTAACTGTTTGTTTCTCCTTATTATTTTACATTTCTCATAATCATATTTTGAAAATTAAGTTTCAGGAAATAATCATAGACGCTAAGTTTATATCGCGTCACTCTCAGTGGGTCAAACAATAATGTTTCTAGGGTTTTACTGTACTTAAGAACACTTTCTTTCAAGAAATTGTTTGATTGTTTTGCGTTTAACTAAAATGTTGAATCATGACTCATGATTCAACATCGTTTTGGAAAGAATATTCACTGGCCATGCCGCAATTAGCAACGATCGTGAAAATGTTCACGGCAATACCTGCTACCAGTGTGCCTAGTGAGGCAGCTTTCTCAACTGCGAATTACCTTCAACGAAAAACTAGATGCTCATTAATGCCAAAAACATTAAAAATTTGTATATTTTTGAAAGGCAAAATTATTAGTATATGACTACGCAGATTTTGTTGTCACATTTCATTTTCACTGATTAATAAACTTGATAGTGGACGATAACGATAATTATTTTTTTTAGTGATTCTGTACATACGAACGCTTACTAGCCTTCGGCTGTGTGGCTATTTCTAGCATAATTAAAAAAAGTTAGCGTAAAGTTAACTAACTGATAGTTACCGTTATTTTAACGGTAACTGGAAAGGAACTTTTACAGTCCCAGTGTAGACAGTAGTGGTCACTCTGTTTCAACGGGTACACTCTCTTATTAGGAACGTTCAGTAAGCGCATGCCTAACTGTATTTCTCACGAAGAAATAACGCAATCAATTAAATGTCACCCACGGCAACACTATGATGTTGGGTCTACAATGAGAAAATCCGTGACTAAAGTTTCTATTTAAAAGCAGTTTTATTAGTTATTTTTCTATTTCAAGTCGCGTTTTTGAAAAGGAGATGAGTGACTGATTTGTTTTATTTTCGTTTAGATTTATATTGATATTAGCTAATTATGCTTAGTTATGAAGAAGATCTTCCTAGTCAAACAGAACAAACCTTGATAACACAATTAGTTGAAGATGATTTATCTCAACGTTATCGGGCTGTTGCACAAGTAAGAAGTGAAGTGAAAGATTAATCAATGAAACATGCAAAAATAATTTTTATTTTTTAGTTAAAAAACCTTATTATTGGAAGTAAACGATTTAAAAGTACATTTTATCGCGTCGGAACATTAGAACTATTGTACAGTCTACTCAATCAATTTTGTACACCATCTGCTAGTAATAATTATAACTTTGACTTACTGATTCAAATTATCGATTGTGTTTCATCATTTGCTAAGTCGAGTAATAAATTAATAATTGAACGTCTCATTGAACTTGGATTTATTCAACAATTACTCTGTTTATTGAATATTCACAATGACTCACTTACACTATGTGAATCATGTTTAAAATGTTTAAAATCATTTTTTATTAGCAAAAATAATAACAATCAATCAAAAACAGATTATACAAATTATTATTATCAACAACAAAGTTCACTTACTCCGTTAAGTGAACAAGATACGTTAAAACCATCGATAACTTCATCGCAAATATTCAACTCATTTACACCATCTTCAACTTCTGTTTCTATAAACTCACGTTCTCCTATTGATATTTTGTTTGATGATCCATCGTCAATTGATTGTTTACTAAAATTATTACCAATGTCTAAGACAACACAATTATGTGTTATTGAAATTTTAACATGCGCGTGTAAGAACAATGAATTGCAATTACAACTTATACAAAAAGATACAATTAAGACCATTTTACATCTATTAGTACAAAGTTCTGTTTCGACGACGGCAACTATGCAATCGATGGCAGATAAACTTAATCCGAACAAAAATAACGTGTTGGATAATGGAAACACTACGACGACAACAATAACAAAAACATTTTCATTAAAACCAACGTTCGAAAACAATACGATATCGAGGTGAAATATTTGTTTTAAGTTTAGCCATCCGCTACTAAAAAAAGAAAACTGTTTATTTTTGAATATTTGTTCTATTATTATTATTTAGTAAATAATAATGATAAATAATCATGATAAACCAAGATGTAAGTAATATTTACATCTTGGTTTATTAGTGAGTGAAGAATATTTTGGAAAATCTCAGAGTATAAAATTTTTTTACTAATTTTAATAGTATCTATTGAATGTTGTTATCCAAGAACTAAGCAAGCGTGAGTAAAATAGCAATTTATGATTTTTATGTGTCTTTGAAAATTAGAATATTCTGCCAAAAAAATATCTAATTTCTTTTAGATTTTTAATAGTCATGAGTAAAAACAAAGAATTGATGTCGTCCAGTAGTGATTTCTTCGCTACTCGAACCTTCTCGCAAACATCTAATATATCATTTACATTTTGTATAAAGATAAGCATATATCTTCTTTCGTTTTAGTCAACAATATCAATGTTATTATCAAAAAAATTCGTTAATAAACGAATCGATTATATTAGTTTGTTTAAAATTTTTGAGCGCCATATGTTACGAAAATAGTGAAGTCTCATTGAAGTAAACATTGTCACATTTTCTTTATTTTTTTCATTGATTTCTTTTTATTTTTCTTCAGACTACAACAATTAGCGATCTGTGATATTGTACAAAAATTTTTGAATAATGGCAAATATAAATTATTTCAAATTTATTACTATGCAGCCAAATTTTTTGTTAATCTATGTAAAACAAAAACACTACAACCGGGTACATTTTTAAAATTAATATTTTTTTCGTTATACTATATTTTACTTTTATTTAGATCATAAATATGTATCTCTTGGTGCGATGACAACATTAATTCATTTGTGTACAAAATATCATTTATCATGTGTCTATTTATATTCTGAATGTTTGGATACATTAACATATTTATTAAATGGCAATCCTATTCTACATCATGTATGACTAGTCTGTCATATAGCTCATACATTAAATCGACGTTTTTTCTTTGTTCAGTGTGCCACGTACACCGAACAATTATTATCAAAATTATTTGTGTATGTGGTAACACCAACAAAAATTATCGATGGTAACAGTGATACATCCCAAATAGCGATTCTACAAACACGAGCATCAGCATTAACATTACTAGCCGTTTTGTCATCTGATTTTGAAGATATTCGAAAACGTATTTCTGAGTATGAAAGTAAGTCTATTTGATACCTAATCAAATGATTTTCTTTATTAATTATGTAGCATTACCTTTACCTAATATTTCTCTTTCGACTAGTGTTGTAAAATCTTAGTTTAATAGTTTTCTAATTAACTTGTTTAAATTTGTGAACCTCTCGTTGTTTGATTCAAGGAAGTACAAATTTCAAGTATTGTTTAGATTTAATACCAACGGCAATTGAATGTTATCGATCTTTGAATATTCCATTACAAGTAGCATCATTACGTTTATTTCATGGTTTATCACGTTCTGTTCAACAATTACGGACAACGTTTAATGATACAATTTGTGATTTATTATTAGATTCAATTAAAAGTCAAGATTTAGCCGTAGTTAAAGTGGGCTCATGTGTCATTAGTAATGTTGTCTTAGAATTTTCCACGTGTCGAATGGTAGCTTAGAGAAGATTTTGTATTTCTTGATGACACTAGGACTATTATTGTCTTTTTTTTATAGCGATTATTAGATGGTGGTATATTAGAAATATTACTCAATTTATTAGATCAGACTGATCGCGAATTGTCTGTTAACGCTATGTGGGCTATTCGAAATATGGCTCATTTGGCAAATCTAAAAGTAAAACAAGATATTGTGAATGGTTCGTCAAAACGGTGATAATTCTAAGTAGAGTATTGATTGATCTCCCAATGGTCTTATTTCTAGGATTGACCGTTGAACGTATTTATTCAACACTTGAGCAATGTTCAGATAAACAATTTCTTATGTGTATTCTTAGCCTTCTACGTAATCTGTTTCTCGAAAAAGATATCGATATTCTAATTCATTTGTTTGACCGAACGAAACTTTTAACGGTAAAGAAGTCATTTTTCTTATTTTCTGCTCGTTCACATTTTGTTTTATATGCCAGATATTACAAACAATGCTCGAAAAAGATTATCCAGATGAAGTTCATGAACAAATACTCTATTTATTAGATAATTTAGCATCAAATGAGAATATGAAAACAATGATGAAAGAATCAGATGGATTATCCAAGAAAATTTCTAGTTTCCAGGTAAATTGAGCTAAAATTTATTTATTACTTTTTCATCTTTTCGATCAAACATAGTTTGAAGAAATATGTGCACGTATCACCACTTCTCACAAGTCGGAGTAGAATAAGTCATATCGCATTGCAAATGGAATATACTCGGATATTTTTTGAGTACCTTTACAACGAAGTGAGATCGAAAAGTGCGAGTTTTGTCGTTCAATAGAAGTTCGCGGGATATCTTTTTGAAACAACAAAAAAAAGAAATTTCAAAGTCTTTCTCACTGATAGAGTTTTGAGAGAATCATTGAAAATCAGTTTATTTCTCTAAAAAGTAAAGAGGGATTCTTTTTTATAAATAGATAGTACAAACTAAACCCGTTGGGAGTCAAGCGAGATCTCGTTTTTTAGCGGTTCAGCGATAATCTTAGGTACAAATGGTCTAAAAATCCTAATTTTTGTAAAGCTCGATTTCCACCAGAAGGAATAATACCCCGCCTTTCGGCTACCTTGCGGTATAGGGTGCTGTTCGGAGACAGTTTCGTAAGCCCGATATCTTCCCTACACTAATACTAGCTGTAGCTCTGGACAGAAGGCCAGCCTGACTCAGAATTCTTTCGCTCAATCGTTTGAGCTCCCCTTAAGTACTGACTAACCACATACTAGCTACGAGGGCTGGTGTATGTCACAACGTAGTCAGATGCTCTCGGACGGCTGATCCGAGGCAAACAACTGTTAATGACTTGGCCAGGGTCATTCCATGTCTGCTGGCGTCGAGGTGCCAAACAACTTAACCACACAGCCATAGCGGTTATTTTCACTAGGTTTTTGATTGTTTGTCGAAAAAAAGTATCGCCATCTGATTTAGTGCGTGCGTTTCATAGGATTTCAAGATTCTTTCTCCTCACCATGTACCGTCCTGATTCTTGGAGAAAATCTGATACTACGCGTGAATCACTGAAACTCTAGATCTCGCTTGACTTCCAACGAGTTTAGTTTGTACTATCTATTTATAAAAAAGAATCCCTCTTTACTTTTTAGAGAACTAAACTGATTTTCAATGATTCTCTCAAAACTCTATCAGTAAGAAAGATTTTGAAATTCGTTTTGCTTTCAAAAAGATATTCCACGCATTCCTATTGAACGACAAAAACCGTACTCTTTGATCTCATTTCGTTAAAAAGATACTCAAAAAATATTCGAGTATTTTCTATTCACAACGTGACTTTAATTTTGTTTTTTGCTATAAATGAGCTTTCACTATTTTCTTCTAGACTCATACCTCATCTTGTTTACAAATCGCGGCAACTATGTGTTCAAATTCGTTATACGAATCGCAAGCTTGTATGTGTTTACCTGATGATGACTTAGATTATATACTATTGTTTTTTTTGTCTAGATGACATTCAGGAGTCGTGCGAATACGTGGAATGTGATTAAGTCAAATGTTAAAGACAAAAGACCTATTCTATATCGCAATCAAGAGAACGTGATATATTTTATCAAAAAACTGTGTGCCAATATGTACAGTTAACTTTTTTTTATCATTCTTATACACTTTTTCACACCGTTGCATGTTTTTTCGATACACCCTCTATGCAAAATAATTTGTCAAGAAAAAAGTCATGTTGCTACCGTGTTTAACAGTTTTGTTAGTTCATATAGTAAAATAATTATTAAAAATCTGGATATAATTTTGTTCATATTTCTATTACAGCAACATCTTTTTCTTGTTTTTTGTAACACTCATATTTGAAGTTTTTTTTTGAAATACAGAAGAAATTCAATATTGTTCGTGTAAGAGAAAAAGTTTTGTTTTCATACTTCGGCGATGAAAAATAAATGCCCACCCTGATATACGAAAAAACTTAGGGGTAACTAACTATCATGACTAAAGTGGATTTTTACTAAATGTGACGTGTTGAAAAAAAGTTCCCTAAAGCTAATTGTTGGAAAAATCATTTTTTCTAAATGTGTTTATCTAACTTGTTAGAGCTTTTAGATGAATGAACATTTGCCGAAACTTGAAAAAGAATTAGAACAACTAATCAATATGGCATGGAATATTGGTGTGACTGTAACTGATTTTGAACCTTCATCGCAAGCACTTCTTAATCAGTCACTAGAAAATCTAATTAATTCACTTAAAGAAATTGATCAAATGAAAATACATTTCAGTGATATTCATATTCCTGGACAATTATTAAGGTAAAAATTTTTATCATAAGAATATATTTTCAAATCTCTTTTTTTTTCTGTTTTTCTAGTTATGTTGATGAATTGAAAAATCCACAATTGTACACTAGTGATTGTTTGAAACATGCTTTAGAACGTAATGAAGAAATAAAAGGAAAAAATGATGCATTAGAAAAATTTGCCACTATGTTATCGGTGGAACTAAGTTCACAATTTCCAAATCAAATGGCTCAGTACAGACTATGGCAGAAGAAAACATTGGAAGAAGGACAATCTGCAATTGATTCTGTTCCATAATCAGTTCTAGAACTTCCAGACGAGATCAGTTGTTTTTAAAGCTTTTCAGTTGAGAAACACTTGTTTTTATTTTTCTAAATTTACAATAAAAAATATAAATAAGAGTAATTGATCACTAAGATTGCGAATGTCTAAACGCTTTCTTCATCTCATTGATGAATTAAAATGATCTATCTGGATATTAAGTTGATAAAACTAAATTCAATTCGGCGTTCTCTACAATTTGTATACTGCGCCTTTTACACACTGAATCTCTAATAAAATTGCATTTTCACTTGGTTCTTGTCTCAATATTTATTGTCTTCGACAAAAATCAAACATAGTCGGTGCTCTTGGGTCTTTTATTAACAGTGCACTTGAAATAACTAATCTCTACCTATGGACTTTTATTAGTATCCCTACAAAAAAAAGTTTTATCGGCACTTGCACCACATCGTTATGCACGGTGCGGAATGATATCTTTTGCTTGGTACGAGTGCGTACTAGTGCCAAATTAGTAAAGGATGGGAAACGATTTTTACTAGAAAATGGATCAATGTGATTTTGAGTGAAAATGACCAGAAATGCTTTCCTTTTCACTTTCCAACACTTATGACTGTCAAAATTCATCCTCATCTCCTTGAAAAAATTATTTCTTATCATGTTTCGTTACCCATTTAACGCAGGTCATTCACTTTGTTCCTCAAGTTTTTCGTATGATTTCAAAGACCTTGACCAAAGTCTATACATAAAAAGATAGAGAATTTCTCGCGCTTCAGAATGAGTTATTGACAAGCTTCTCAAAAACATGCCTATATAGGAAAGTTGTCAAAATACTAGACAGATATCATGATTTTTCACCTATCCTAACAGTTTAAAAGAATACTTCTTTGACGCTTCTGCTCAGACCCGGAATGTTTTGTATATAGAAAGGTAGAGAATTTTCTTCACTCAAAATGACCTATAAATAAGTTATTCAAAACGATGTCCATATAGGTCAATTGTCGAAATACTCGACGGATATGATTGTCACATATCTTAAGGCTTTAAAAGAATATTTCTTCCACAGATCTACTCAGAACCGAATGTTTTATATATCAAAAGATCTTTCTTCAAAACATTCTTTTTATGTATAGACTTTGGTCAAGGTCTTTGGAATTGTGCGAAAAACTTGAGGAACAAAGTGAATGGCATGGGTTAAACGAGTAACGGAACACAATAAGAAATAATTTTTTCAAGGAGATGAGGATGAATTTTTGACAGTCATAAGTGTTGGGAAGTGAAAAGGAAAGCATTTCTGGTCATTTTCACTCAAAATCACATTGACCCATTTTCGAGCAGAAACCAGTGATACAATGTCATAAACCTATTTTGTTCACACTTTTAACCAGTGACATTCGCGTACATTCGTAAATAAGACAAAAACGAACTAAATACTGTGTGTCTCGGTACACCGTGATCGGTGAAGCGGGTCCGACACATTACATAGTTCAAAATGGATTTGTTCGCAACGTACATTTTGTTTTACATTTTACGTACATTTATTTTATATGAAAGCCATAAACTTCGGATTGGTTTTAAACAATTCAGACGTCTAAATGCACAAATCAGTAATGGTGACTTTTAACATTCTAATCTACCTCGTTTTTACGTGCGTTTTGAGTTGAAAATTCTAAAATGCACGCGAATTAGATGAATAAATCAGTTGGAAACTTTTCCATACTGCTAATGGCGGTGTGAGCGGTGTATGTGGAGGAATGTATACCCCATGTTTTCAGAAATTTGGTAAAAATTTGCTCCGATTCCAGTCAAAAATACAAAAAATTTACTTCAGTTTTGACAAAAAATAGAGTAAATTTACTCCGAGTTTTGGAACTACAGCTCTCCTACTACAACCTCTTTGCGACCTCACTGCATACTGCAAATTAATCTCGACAATCGTGACATGGAATAAATAAATTTATTGAGATAAATTGTACAGTTTACGTACCACGTATCGCCTTTCAGTAGTCTTCTAAGATGTCGGATTTCTAGGGCACTTTACAAAGAAGGCATGCGTCTCTCGGAAGTTTTGACAATGATGTACCTCTATAGCTATTTGTATTACTCGCACAAATATTTGTTGCATTACATAAAAAAACTGCAATTATGACTACCGTTGAACATGTTGCACCTATGATAATATTAGACTATTCAATTATACAGCAGCAGAGCAATAAACAATAAAGAAAAATACAGCACCATTGAGTGCACTAGAGAATATAATTAACTGATAGTAATTTGTATACTTGATTAAATATTAACTGAAATTAAAATTAAGGTTTTGAAACAAAACACATCGGCTTTTCTCACTTTTGGAACCTCTCTAAGGTGTAAAGATTCTGTTCATTTCTGACTTTGTTTTTGGTTTTAGTATTTTCTCGAACACAATAAGAGTTGGTCGTTGAAAATAATGACCTTCGTAAACATAATGTACTTATACAAGATTGTCCAAATTAGTAGAATGAGTAGATGAACTATATCTCCAAATAACTGGAATCCCCAGATGACTATCATTTTTGTCTTAAAATAACAGTCAGGTAAAAATTTATACGACTACCAGGAATCAAATCTAGTATACTTGTTATAAAACTTGACCAAAAATCTGTGTTTAACATAAAACGTTCGATCTGACTCTTTTTTATTTGCAAAAGAGAATGAAAGTTCGCGTTTATTCCGTTGTCCCACTTTACTCAGAAGATTATTTGAAAACTTTTGTTGTCTTCTTCGTCCCTACACACAAGGTCAATTTTCTGACAGCCATTAAAAGCCTCGTTTCTTTGATTCCAGTTCAGAAATCATCACGAGCCGGAAAAACTCGATAAGCGCGTGGAAGCCCGCGGGTCCCCAGGTAGGGGGGCGGATTAAGTTTTTTGAAGATTGTCTACAGACCGTGATCTGAAGGCTCGCATATGGGCTCGGTCCTTTTTCCCAAATAGCCAATAAAATTATAGTGCAACATCCACTCAACATTAAATGAGGAAAAAAGACGCCTTTTTCTCTTGAATGTCACTGCCGAACTTGGCTGCCTTTTTAGCATCCAGATATTAGTAATCAAATGCTAATCACTAGAACTTGGGGCTAATCACCAGGACTTTTAATATTTTTACGTTCCCCGAAAAATGTACGGTTTTTATCGGGCCAAAATTTATGAGTCCTGATACGGAGAGGGCCGAAAAAAATGTTCCGAGAAGAACACTGTTCTTGTCTGATCTAGATGTCGCTCGTCGTGTCGTCGTATAGTGGTGCTATCTTTAACCGTTTTACTACTTCTCATTTGTATTCTTTATGTAAAAAACTTTGTTTTGATCTTGCAAAAATGTTGTGTTACTAACTAAGTGTGTTTTTTGAATATTTTTATCACTAAGAAATTTATTCTGTCTCGTTACACTGCCCAGATTTATAACTCCTACGTCAATGATGGTTGATCACATGTGATTTGTTCGCGTTGTACCAAGTTTTTTTTCCAAGGAAATAAACGCTGGAATAAAAATTATATCAATATACTATAGATAGATCTTCCCCTGGAGTTTTATGAAATATTGAAATAAAGTTTTTTAATTTATTTTAATTGAATAATAAAGTAACACATTGAAAAACAATCCTCTTATGTAAGTATACATACAAAGAGAAACTTTTTGTGTGGAATCAGAGTAATGAAGACTAGTTATTTAAATGATGACCACAATTCACGTGTTTCCGAAGCATGCAGAATATTGTTGCACTTATCAAATTACTCAACTTTAATGATATAGGAAAGAAACGAGGCCCCCTTCGTTGTGATGATCTGTGGGTACTTTGATTTTTCATTTTATCAAACACAATGGATTTAAACCTTAGCGATAGAACTGAAAACTCATGTTATCTTTAGCATTTGTTTTACTTGATTTGTTGAAGAAAAGAAATATTCATAGTTTAGCATAATGGAAACGTTCTTTAAACTATCGCTTCTTGATAAAGTTCAGGTATTTTTTAAGGTAACTTTCAATAAAAAATTAATCTGATGTGCATTGTATATTCTATAGAATATGTTTCATTTATCGTCTGAAATATCTTTGTTTTTTATTTCGGTATAGTGGTCATGCACGGGTCACTGAAATCCGACAGGATTGTATGAGAAAAACTGCTAATGCTTACTAAATTTTAAAAGTTTTTTGAAGTAGAAAAATTTAGCGTCGAGTCTTTACTACGCAGTTGAGTATGATTTGTTTCGTTTAATAAGAAGTATAGACAGAAAAAAAATTCTCTGCTATATGTCTGTATATTTAGTTTGAACTCATTCAATGAGATTTATGCGTATTTTCAATGTGATAGTTGTGGATTAAATTCAATTTTTTGTTTTTCTTTTCATACGTGTCTATTCTTTGCCTTTTTTATGACCTTCAGTATGATGATATAACCTTGCATGATATAAGCTTATACATAAAACGCATATGAATAGGAATAAGAATAAAAAAAAATAGTAAAGGTGCTGTTGTTGTTGTTGTTATATTATTTTGTGTACTGATGTTCTTCTGTTTTTCATTCCTTCATATATTCTGCATTTTCTCTCACGATTCCAACATATGTTTCTATTAAATGGTGGATACAATATAAAATAAAAAAATAGATTTTTTTTCTCCAATTTTTGTGCTTTGTCATCGCATGGATATCATCACATGAATGGACATGCGCATGACAATATACCTTTTCCGCAGAAACAAGAATCAGTCATTCATAAATGAGAAAAATTCATCAGAAAGTACTAGACGAGTTGATTGCAATAGACAATGTTCTGGTAAGTGTACGAGTCACAGAAATCAGTCTTTGCAACATTTGTTAGTTCTTGTTCATTGTTAGTTCATTGCTCTAAAGCTTATGCCTAGTTGACGAACATTGGATCAATTTAGAGACAAAAACTTCAGAATGATTGCAATGTAATAGTAGCTATCTTGAATCTCATTTATTTTTTGTTTGTTTTTGAAAAAAAAATAAGATTCATGATAGCTACTGTTACATTGCAATCATCCTAGTTGACGACTTAGTAACTTAAATATAACACATTTTCTAAGAATATTTTTTTTACGTGATAAAATATTCAAACTTTCACTTTTATGAAGATATAAAACTTTAAAACTGAGCATTAAAATTATTTTTTATATTTCACAAGAATTCTATATTTTGTTCTCTTCTCCGGAAATGGGTTATTTTTTTACTTTATTATTCATTATTTTCTTAAGGAAATTTCTGATTTTTATCAATAGTTGAGAAAATAAAGATGATTTCAACGTTTAAATAAAAATTTGTAAAAAAAAGTTTTTGAACGGTGTAGGTCTCATCGTATTGAACATTTAAAATAGACATATGTGTACATAATTTCGATTTTTGAAAGTACATTTCTGTATATCAAACAACTCAAGAGAAGATACTCCCTCTCTATAATTTGCATTGACCTTGTTTGAGTTTCTATAAAATAAAAAGTTTGTCTGTCTGATGACAAAATGATCTTCCACCTCTTTTATGTCATCAGATTAATCAATTAAACTGCGTTTGTATGTGTGTTACAGACGTACACAAGGAAAGAGAGACAATTTACATGTATGTATACTATATGAAATGAGTGTTCTTCACCTGTATAGAGAGAAAAAAGTAAAATGTACGGAGAGGGATATGAGGTCATTGTTTTCCTTTTATTGATAAGAATGTATTGGACTTAACACACACTTAAGTGAAAGCCAAAGAAAATGAATCACACCACTTTTAAAGAATTATTTTTAAAAAGTCCATATATTTTTACGTTGTTTAGTTCGAAATACTATTATGGCACGCGTCATCCGTTTTTTCTGTTCTGTACGTTCTGGTGCATAACAGAAAAAGAAAAAAAATTTGCTTTTTTCGTCATTTCTTAAAGCTGTAACGCGTATAGTTCTTATCTTTTGTAGTAAAAATATTCAATACGTGTTTTGTCATCATTATTAAAGGATGTTCGAGAAGAAGGGAAAAAAAAACAAATAAAAGTGCTTTTCTTGTTTATATATATATATATATAATGTGTCCGTAAGATATTGGACGTGTTTCATTCACAGAAAAAAAGAAAAAAACGAAAATAAGAGGCAAATTAGTAACAAGCATGATAAGCTACTTTCGTACAGAAAATTTGATGAAAATTTTTCGTCAATTGCATCGTCATATTTACGAAGAATAATTTTATATTAAATTTCTATAAGAGAATTTGAAAATTCTTACGTTAGGTAGTCTCATGTTTCATGATGTACAAATTTACAGTAAATAATGTGCACGTTGAGATTTAAGCTAATATTTGAATTTAGAAGTGCTGAGTGTATGCAATTATGTTAAACAGAATTCTGTTGGAACAGAGTCTGATAGCTTTGATTTTCATTTTTATCAAATGTTTATACTCATTTTTTTCAGATCATCTTATTTACGGCTACAAAGTGCTATTTTTGTTTGGTAAGCTACTAGATGATATATTTTTTACGCAGCACTTAACTTATCTGTTTATTTTTATTTACAGATCCTATTTATTACTAAACTCTCTTGAAACGTGCATTTTATTGTACCACCGTATTGTTTTCATTGATTATGGAACAGCCGGAATCAAATCCAACGCATTGTAAAAATGGTTGTGGTTTCTATGGAAGCCAAGCGTGCGAAGGCATGTGTTCAAAATGTTATAAAGCTTATGTAAAAGGAAAATATAATACTGGAAGAAGCAGTCCATGTAACAGTAAGTATTTTGTTGCTCCTTATCATAACTAAATTTTAGAATGTGATTAACCTATTGTTTTTTACTTTTTACTTTTTAAGATTATTATTCATCATCTTCAACAAATCATCAAACATCATCCACATCATTTACAACGCCACAACAGCCACAGCAAAATGAACAAGTTATGGATGATTCTGCCAATATTGTTGGAGCGATGGATGAAGATAACGATAATTCAACAACAACAGTGACGAAAACAGACAGTGAAAAACCAACTTCTGTTACAAATGTCAGTGAAAATGAAGTAAATGATGAATCTTCGAATAATAACTTGATACCAAGAGTTGTTTCCGCACCATCGTTGCCTATTACTATAACGAAAAATATTGACATACCAAAAAACAATTCAGCAGCATCATATTCTGAAACAGACAATTCAGTCGGTAAGACATTTGCTTATTTTCAACTTCATTCTAATTTCTTGTGAAGAAAGATTTCCTTCAATACGGATGAGTTAAACGAAACTTATTTGAACAGATGAGCTATACTTTTGGAATAAGTTAATTGTTTGTGCTGTGTATTTGAAAATATCTTAATTACGCCTGAAGTTGAAACCGCATGTGCCTCTATAACATTACTCACATCAGCGTACATATTTGAAGATAAAAATAAACAAAGAAATGTTTCCCAATGTTTCAAAAAAAAATCTTTTCTTTTCAATATCTCATATATGTTTCATTTTAGGTCTAGAATCGGGATCTCTGTCTGGTACTAGTATGGATAAAAAGAAAAAACAAAAATGTCTAATATGTAATAGAAAACTTGCATTGACTGGTAAATATTTTGTTGATTTCTCTCATTCTATTGATCTAATACATTTTTCTCAATGTTTTCGCAGAATATCCTTGTCGTTGTGGCGGACATTATTGTTCATTACATCGTTATGCCAATGAACATAATTGTACATTTGACTATAAAGAACATGGTCAAAATGAGATTAGACGAAATATGCCAGTTGTACAAGGTGACAAAATAACAAAAATCTAATTTAAAATAAACAAAGTCAACAGGTATTGAGTGAAACAACAACAGCAACAGAATATTGTTCAGTAGATTCAGTCAAGACCACAATACGATAAACGTGTGTAATGAACTATGTGCTTTGTTGGGACGACTAAAGACACATCTACTCATATTTATCTCTATTAACGAAAAGAAGAGTATAAAACATTTTTCTTTTTTTCTTTGTTCGCTCACTGAAAAAATTAGGAAAAAGAAAAATGTGTTTTTTTGCTTGTTTATTTGTTTTTTGTCTTTTGTTTGTTCTTCATCATCATCCCACCATATTACGCGCACACTCGGACAGTTATTGGTTTCTTCTTTTTTTACTTTTGCTTGATTTTTCAACATGTACAAAAAAACTGAAAAGAGTGTGTGTTACTACTGTGTGAGTGTGTGTGTGTGTTATGCTTTGTGTACTTTTTAAAAGCAAACTGAAATGAAAAGAAAAAAGAGAGACCTTCCTATAGTTATTGATATTGTATATATAACTTGTTCTGCTTTTTATAAAAAAAAATCATGTATATATTGAATACATAGAAAAATGATCTATGGCGAAAGTTTAGTTATCATGGGAACTGAAGTTGTTGTTGGTTGGGTGACAGATATGTTACACGTTCTCCTTTTGTAAGAAATGTGTGTGGCGTATTTGTGAAAATAGATATCTATATATGAGAAGGAAACAAGCAAACTAACGCGTTCAGACAGTGCAGAAAAAAGGTAGAAAGTTTATGTTTATTTTTCAATCTGTGTCGAGATAAACGGAATCTTCTATTTACTTTGAACTTTTTGAAAATTGAGATAAGTAAATATACTATTTTGCTCATTTTATTGTTTGATGAAGCAAGCTAGCATGGCTTTTCCCTTTTTTTCGAGTGAGTTTCAGTAGACAGAATTTCTGAAAATAATTGTAAAATGTATAGACAGAACAGCGTTTGTCCTTTTCCAATGGTATGAATATGACCTTCATACGATTCGCTGCACATAACTCTCAAACGAGTCAACGGCAGGTCACCAAATGGATATGGTAAGTAGCATTCCTGTGTTGATATTTGTCTAAATATTTGTATCTTCTATATCTGGTAGTATTCATGCTAACGTATCCCGTCTATAGAAAGCTGTCCATGTTGTACTGTGATCCTAAATTACAAAGTAAAATTACACTTTAAAGTTTTTGCAATGTCTAAAAAATGCAATACGTATGCTCCAACTTGTTTTTGATTTTTGTCTCATATACAGTACCGTGAAAAATTATAGGATTCGGAAATAGTACAGGGTGCCCAAAAAATACGTTGACAGAAATAAAAACGAAAAGTTTTAAGAAAAACATTTCGTCAAATTTTCGTATTTGACATTTTTTGTAGCATTTTCTCTCCTCTTTCAGATACACTTTAAAGTGTTTCGTTAGCTCTATTCTATATCGTTTTATAGATGAGTTCAAACCGAGAAGTTATTATGCTTTTTTTTCCAAGGAAGAAGACAATCTGATGTTGCCCGCTCGCTGAATTTGTCGAGACAACTCGTTTCTAAAGCCATCAAAGGTTAACAGGAGACGGGAAACAACAATGACCGGCTTCCTGCATTTTGTAGGGTTTTTTTGGCTTGCCAAAAAAGTGGAACAGAAACAGTGTGTTTTTGGTCCACCGTGCGTTTTTGACAATTTTTGTTGGATTTTTTTCAGCTTGAATTCATCTATAAAACGATGTAGAATAGAGCTAACGAAAAAATTTAAAGTGTAATACACTTAGTGTATCTGCAAGTGGACAGAAAATGCTACAAAAAATGTCAAATGCGAAAGTTTGGCGAAATGTTTTTTATAAAAACTTTTCGTTTTTAATTTTGTCAATGTATTTTTTGGGCACCCTGTACCATCGAAATTGTTTTCAGAATTTTAATGTTTCCTATCAATGTCATCAGCCATATTGTGGAAAAGAAATATTTGAAACACCATGCTCATTCACAACAAAATTTTAAAACCTACTGCTGAGAATTTGAAGAAAAACAAATGATTATTACTTTCAAATATTTTATCACAATTTTAACTACTACATTAGTAGACTCGATATATTTTTACCATTGTGAAAATCGAAGTTTGCTAGTTTTCTAAAAAGTCTTTCGAATCGTTCTAAAACCTGCAAAAGAGCAGGTTTTCACTGAGACTTAAAGTACAAATCTCGGATCGTAAAACAAGAGATTTTATAGAACACAAGCATTTTTTGAGCCAATTTTGTCTTTTCCTTTTATTAAGGCGGCAAAGGTCAAGAGCATTCATGGGTAAGAGGTATCTCTAGGAGTCGAGCACATTTCGTCAAAAATGTGTTTTATACGTCGTATCTTGTGACAAAGTTAAAAGGCTGAACTACCGTTCCTGTCAATCGGATTTATAAAAAATCTTTTTAAGCACCAATGAACATTCGTACTGTTTAACGACTATGACGATGGTAAGTATATTACAGCAATGAATATAAGTTTTAAAAGCTTCAATCAAATGGAGCATATATTGATTGTATGAACCATATATAACCATAGATTTCATTTCTGTCTCAAATACTCCTGCTTTACAATCAGTTCTCAGACAACTCTTGCAATTTGCTGATTTCAGACAATTGAAATGTTCTAAATGATAAACGGCAGTTATTCTTCGTTTTACAAGTCGATTTTCTGACGAAACCTGTCTTAGAACAGGCATGGTGAGCAACGTGGTTCAGTCGGCTAGCGGACAGACAATGTACAGTAGTGTGCAAAATTATAGACTCACCTGTTCAAACCTTCTGTACTTTTTTAGTGCAAAAAAGTGGCATGTATTTTGATACAGATATGTCTCTCTGTAACGAAATGACGCGCAGAGCTCGCGAACCTTCCATTTTGAAGGAAAAGATGTCATCTATTTGAATTCGTTGTCAAAAAATGAGTCCAGCTTCTATGTCAAATTTCGTAGCCAAAATACTGAACTTGGATGAGGTTTTCAAGCCATTGTGGCTTGTTCAACAAAATCTAATAGTAACTCCAAATATAGACCATTTTTTATAGTTCTTTTTATGAAAAAATGTTCAGAAACAGCTCCTCCATGTAACTTTCGAGCCAAACTAACGTCGCTTTGGTACAAAAATACGACATCGAGTCTATAATTGTGAAGAGGCTTGTTTCAATAAACATTTGTTTTCTCGAATTTGAAGGTCGTATTGAGCAAATCTGATTTCATATTCGGATAGAGAATACTCGAATGTATTTAGTCACAAAGATTTTTCTTTGCACAAGAGTGTACAGTGGTCGAGAATGATCAAACAACTGAGTTTGAACAGATGAGTCTATAATTTTGCACAATATTGTACTACAAACACATGGCGTTCGAATCCCGGCAACGGCGGTCGCATGATAGTCTTGGACAAGCTATCTAATGCTCATTATCTCGGTACCTTTGGGTACAGATGCAATGGGGTAACCCGATTTCAGTGGTCATTGGACTGAAGAGATGAGGATTAAAGTTTAAAAGAAAAAAAAAGAACAGGCATACATAGTCTTATTTATCGTACCACAATGTTTTAAAAACACGTATGTCTATAACTGATAATTGTAACCATAATTAAAAAGATAGTAAATGATATATGATAAACAGAAGCGATTGAATGAACTCGATTTGCTTTTTGAGATTTTGATTCGATCGTAATATTATTATGCTCTAATGGAAAAGTATCACTTAATTCTGCTGTAGAAAGATTATTAAAATTCGTTGATATATAACTCATAATATGTTCGAACAGAGTAGTTTCTGAATAATACTGAATTTGCGTTGTCCATATATTCGTTGAAGACAGCTGCTAAAAAAATGAATGAATATTATAACTTACCGATCAAACTCTCGTATATCTGTGAAATAGAGGTCATCAATGGAAATATCAACTGTATCAAAATATAAAGACGACTTCTGACTGCTTTATAATGAAAGTAATATTCTTTCAGTTTATTAAATAATTATTCTCTATCTACTTTTCCAGTATAATATGTGTTAGTGTTCTGTTTCATCTATTTTTAGAACATACTTACCATTGTTGAGGTTGTTGTTGGTAAACAATATTGTTTATAATTCTTAATGTTAAATAAATAGAGACGTTCACCAGTTGTAATGGAACACATTGCCCGAAATAATGGTCGATCTTTGATAAATGCTTTTGTTTTATTAGATTCCAGTCGTATGTTATTAAAAATACGTTGATATGTGAACATGTCACGACAATTACATAACGAAGATGAATTTGAGAATATTGAACGCGATAATTTTTTTATAATATTTTTTATATCTGATTGATCAATATCATTTTTATTGTGAAAAAATGTTGTAAATGATATTGATGTATTAATGGCGAGAGAATTTTCCCATGAATTGAACCATTTTGAAGTTAAATGAAGCCATGTTCTTGTTGAAATTGAATCAATAGTTAATAATTCATTGTGTGTTAGATCAATAGTACGTAAGTGAGACAATGATAATAATAAGTCAAAATTTGTTAATTGTTCTAATTTACAAGAACTTAGATTTAATGATACTAAATTTGTCAATGATTTGAATAGACTACAATTAAGTTTTACAAGTTGATTTTGTGATAAATCAATTGTTTTCAGTTCATTTAAATTATTCAAAGCATTATGATTAATCCATCGAATTTTACATGAACTTATATTTAAATATTTTAATTGATGTAAACATGTTAAATCGGTTATTATTTCAAAATATGATTCACTAAGATCCAATGATTGAACATTTTTATACGAACATAGTTTATGTGGTAAACGAGTTAAACCTTTTTGAACAATAATTTTTGTTAACTGTTCAACGTTTTTAGGAATAGGTAAATCGGGTAATGCATAATCACAATCACTTAAAATAAAGGATGTCTCTTCGAAATAACATGAACAATTTGTATTCGGAATACATGATAGACTATTGCCATTTGATGTTGAACAAGATAAAAGGTATAACACAACCACTATCAGAAACAGATAATGAAAACGATGCATTTGTTCTAAAAAAAAGCGAGAAGAAAATCGTTCATTTAACGGTTGATTTTAAAGAAAAGAAGACAGTTAACTTACCTCGTTAGAAAAAAAGGTATTGTTGTACATTCGTAAAAGAAAAATGAACTGTAATGGTTAAATTAGTTTATTCGTCTGAGAGAACGGTTGATTTTTTTTGAACATCACGATCATATTTGATTTAATAATAATGTTGACACTGTACAAAGCACGTTGTGATTTTAATGGCTTTTCCTGCTTTTTACACATTCTTATTTTGTAATAACACGCCAAGATATTTACTAGAATAAAACAGACTCTCTTCGTTTGGTCTTAACTACTCAACATATAACTTCTTTTCATTTGTTCGTTGTATCAAGTTTTATCCTTTGTCTGAAATATTACTAATCGTTTGTGCAAGCAACAGCTTGAACGTGAGAATTTAACCTTTTTCTTGTCTTGTCTGACTTGTTGTATTAACACAAAAAGCTGTTAATATATTTCTGTTTTAAAGTGAAGAAACCAAGTTTCTGCATTTTTAAATTATTCTATCTACCTGTTTAACGGATGTGCTATTGTACATAGGTTCGTAGTCAGGAAGGAGGATTGAGGGGACCGTTCCTCCCCCACCGGACTTTTGAAAAAATGATTTTTTCCACTGAATATCGTCAGAAAAAGTTGCTAGATGATAAGACTTCACACTATCTCCGAAGGCAAAAAATCGATCCTCCCTTCCCAAAAATCCTGGTTGCGGGCCTGATAGTGGCATAAGAGACTATCCTGAGTTTTAATTCGCTGCACTTCTCATAGGATCAGAAGCACAGAAAAGAATTAAGCTTTTTTTTTTTTGTTAGTATGTATTGTAAGCTTTTTATTTTTTCGGTTTTGTTAGCAGTTTTCATTAACATTCGAAAAAAAATTCACCACAATATATTCGTGTTTTGAAAATCCGTTCGAAAATGATTGTTTTTACAGGAATTTATTTTCTTTTAGTTCACTCGTTCGGGATCGTAGAACAAAGACTATTTCTCATAGAAGTAATATTTAAAAAAGCATCGATTTTGCGCATCACTATCTTTGGTTTTACAATGGACATTCCTATTTGCTATAAATCATTTGTTAACCGGTAATTGAATCAAACTTTCATCTAAAAAGACTTTTTTGGAGTTTTGTATATTTCCTAAGATGAGAAAATGACTAAGGCTTTTGAGAAATGAATATACTTGTTAGATTTCGTTTTATATATTGTTATGCCAATTTCTTTGTTTGTAATTTGATCTGCTTGCTCTTTGGTGGTCTCCAGCTCCTTTTGATTTTTAGAATCTCACTTTGAGCATCTTTTGTGGTAGTATATCGTTAGTTATATGCAATAGTGATTCAGATTTGTAAATTTTACAACACACATATAGGTAAATAGCCAAAACACGACATAGTTTAAATTGTTATTAATTTCTTTATATTTTGTAAAATAAAAAACATGACATTGATTGAACAGAAAAACAGGAACAAAATATGATATTTCACACAAAATACTGTTCACTGTACGTTACGAATGGACTTGAAATGACTTGTTTCAATCTGTATATCTATCTACTGCTTACTGTTTATCATCGAATTGCCGACTTGGAAATAAAAATAGATGTACTATTGAGAAATAGTTTGATGAACGCGATATTTCTATGATAAAAGAAATGCAATATGAGCTGACTATTGAATTCATCACACTACTTATTTTTAATCATTAATACAAAAAAAATTCTACGTTCAATTCTCCGTCTCATTTTTTTTTTGATGATCTAACCTCGTGCTTGTCGCTTGTGTGATGCGAATGATACACAATGGTTATTAGAAGTGTGCCAAGATGTAAAGATTAGAGGAGAGGAGATAAAAAACCTTCGAGAATATAAAATCTTTTGTCTCTCAAAGATCTAAAACCAAGAATTCTCAAAAGTTTTTACGTAGAAGAAGAAAAAATTTCAATCATGAGATATCCATAACTCGCCCATTTTCTACCCTCAGACAGCAACAATTGTTTGTTATTACTTAAAAATGAAATTGAGTCTGAGCCTGATATGAGAGATTCTGAGTATGATGTGATTGATTTAATGATGGTTGTTGTTGTTGAAAATTCGCATGCTGATGGTATGGTGATGAATGCCGAAGATTCGAATAATTTGTCAGATCATAGTTAGTAGAAAGCGTATTTTGCGTCGATGTCGTATTGCATGAGGCCATCATATCAATAAATCGTAAAATAAATTGTGATTTCATTCGTTTTAGATGTTCATCATTTGCAATTGTATATGTTTTTGATTCTTCTGCCGATAAATTATTAATACGAGAAGATGCACTATGTACTTCTTGATCATATTCTAACTCGAACAATCGTAAAACTCGTTCAATAACTGTGTCCGTAACATCAGTTATTGATCGTTGCTGTAGTAATGGTAAATTTTGTTGCTGATGATCTAGTGAAATATTATTCGCATCCATACTGATCAGTGAAGAAGTCAAACGATTTATATCCGATGAATAATTTGACGATTTTGAATCAACATGTGAAATTTTATTTGGTTCATTTAATCGGGTTGCACTGTTAGTCGTAGTAATCAAGGTAGCATATTGAGATAAATTTTCATTTGATTCATAATCGTTATCGCTTAGTGTTGTCGAATTTGTGCATAATAGACCACCCCCAATTTCATCGTCATCATACGACAATATCAATAAAATCATGATTAACCTCCATCGTTCTCCACCTAAACGAACAAAATGGATAATATCAGAACTTAACTCACCACGTTGTTATGAATAGAGATTCTTAGCGACTAAAAATATTCCTCTGCTTTTTCTTATAATGTCGACTATTTAAGTGCTCTAAACGTGCCTTTTCGATTTGCAAATAACCATGCTTGCGGTTCTTTGCCCCAAGATGAAAGCCGATCGTTGTCAGGTTCGCCTGTAATTAAAAATTTCAATGCTGATTCATGACGTTTTAGTCGAGATAATAAAGTTGCTGCCATTTTTTCATGATCATGCACAATTATGCTTGCTAAACGATGACAGAATTCAAATATGATCGATAAAGATGATGAAGTCTCAGTCTGATTTGGCGGTGTTCCTATTTTTGTTTCAGTTGATGATGTAGAAGAAGATGGATGATTGTTATTTGTAGTCAAATCGTCGAATGATTGATAACATTCTAATAAATTTTGCATTAAACGATAATCACTAGAATTTGGTTGTAATTTGATACTTGTTGAAAAAAGACTATCAAATGCTGACGATTTCGATGTCTTTGGAGGTTTACCAAACCGTATTTTATCCACTGCCATGCCTGTGCACAGAACAAATACAATAAAATCATCATTAGGTGGTAGAGAGCGAAACAACCTACCAACAAATTTACATTTATCATATCGACATGAGGCGCAATTATTGCGATTATTTTTATTGATTGTACAACGTTGAGGACAAGGTTCCATGACTGTATTTTTTTTCGAATATCGTCGAAAAAAACCTTTGCAGGCTTCGCAAGTAAACACACCAAAGTGATAACCGCTGCTTACATCTTCACACACACGACAGAGCTCAGATTCATATTGGGACTCTAAATAGTATAAAAAACCTTGATATGGCAACCCTTTATGGGGCTAAAATGGTGAAACTACTCAAAAGTTGTTGAATAGTTAAAGACGATGTCACCAATAAGGGGGGAGCAGGTTAAAAATAGCCAAAATCAAGGGTGTTCGAGTATAAACATCAACTCAGGGACATCCCGATAGGGGGAAGGGGAGAGATCTTCCCTGCTTTCTGAAAACATTTACTTCCAAAATTATGTCTTTGACTTACGAGAATATCCCACGGAGTAAAGCGTTTATTCGTATTTTCAGAGTAAGACAAATTACTCTCATATTTAGAGTATAAAAGGTTTACTCTCAGTTTTGTAGTTATGAATTTACTCTCTTTTCAAAAGTAAGATATTTACTTCTATTTTCGGAGTAAGACATAGACTTCCATTTTTAGAGTAAAGCATTTGTTTTTTCTCTTTCTGTATTTGATAGAAAATAAAATGTCTGTCATGTACATAAATAAGATCAGATAAGTAGAATAGACTGTATCATGGCTTCAGTAAATGTATTTTTAGATTATTAAGATGTTTTTATATTATAAGGCTTTGTGTTGAAGTATATAGAATTAGATAGAAGGAAATTTAGTCTTGCTTTAGAAGAAAACTGCTTAGAATATTTATCTTTTCTTTTATAGTTTTACTCCAGTTTATGAAAGCATAAAAATTTACTCTAAAATTGACTTCGCCTCCCTGCCTCCGAGGTATCGGGGCTCCCGTGCTTCAACTCCTCTTTCTTTCGCAGATATAGCAGAAGTTTCACAAAAGGCGAAACAACCATCAGTAAGCTTTAGCAAATTAAGAAATGAAAGAACTTGCTCATGGTACCATCGTGGATTTTTTTCTTTTTGGCCAGGTTTAACGCGGATCTTCTATCTGCATATAAGCCACCAAAATGTCTGGAAAAACTAGCATCAAGACTTTCGGATCCAGATGACAGATTTTGTGCCGCTGATGTCAAACTGTAAATGCAAAAGTTATTGGCAAATTTTAAACTTTTGCAAAGATGAATCATTACCTTATTCCGTGATTTGTAGCATAATCAAGTCCTGAATACGCTACTGCTGCAGCTGCAGCAGCAGCCGCTGCCATATTGTAGTCATAGGCTAAAAAACAGAACTAATTAATTTTCTACAGTCATTAACATATTTATCGGTACATACTATAAGCATCAGTACTCTGTTGACTGGAATGATGCGATGCTCCAAAATATGATGGATAGGTAGAGTGTTGACGAGATGGAAACGACGAAAAAGTCGAACTATATGTACTTGTATAAGGATTATAGGATAAATTATCGATATAATAATTATCATTGAAAGGAAACGATTGTGATCGTCGTGAATGATCGAAACCATGCTGCCAAGTAAAGAAAGTAGGTAAGAGTTTCACAGATAATAAACGAATAAGAAATTCAACACTTACCGATTGAAGAGGAGGAGTGTACTGATCACCGTACATAGTAATATCACGTCACAATATAATAATTCTACAAGAGGAAAAAAATTGACAAATTTTATGTATCTAGTAGAATAGCAGTTTTCACGGTGATAGAATCCCTTTTAGTTTCTCCTATGTCTAATTTGACATCACTTGTTAATGAAATAAAATTTTTATTCAAAAAATCATAGTATTTCTTATCTATTTTCATTAGTTAGTGCAGGGGCGTAGCTAGCATCTCAGAGCAGGGGGGTGATCCTGTCCAAAACAATTTTTGTTCTTCCCAGAAAAAAGTTTGTTTGGAAGCGCGAAGTCTTAAACTTTTCTAAAACCAGGGGGTTGGTCCCAGTAACTTCGTCTCTAAGTTAGTGACTGATGAGCAAAAACGACAGCAAAAACTCTCTGAAGCAACTCGCCTTATTGATAAAAGAAAAGTATTTGCTCTTTCCATCGAGAAGACATGTATATGTGTATTACATGCTAAACGAGGAAGAGGGAAACTTTCTTTTTCTACTGTCTGCATTCTATAGGTTCATATTAATTATTTGATGCAATATTTTGATTGCTAGATAGTAATACGTGAAAAGAACCAATAGAATGAACAGACAATGATAAGAGATGATAAAAAATATATATCTATTTTATTATACGCACATACACAGAAAAAAATGGTTTTAGCTTCAATTCGTGTCATACACTCACTTCTGATGCCGTCCGTTGATGTAGTGTGATCTTATAAATCAATCGAGTACGAATCGAGAGAACAGCAAAAAAAACCAATGAGACAAAAAACATTGTTCTACTATCCATCATCGTATGCAAACAGTTATTAGAAAAATCTACAATAATAATATTAAATAAAACGTCCTTGATTAACAGAATGTTTTGTTCTTCTATGAGACGTTGTGTTCTATCATTTTAATTATAAATACAAAGATAAATTATTAAACGTGATCGTTATATCTCGTATTCTAATTTGTTTTATGAACTACACAGTCTAAACACCCTCTTACGTGCGAAGTTCGATAGTTAGAGAGCTTAGATTTTCAGTAGGTGTGTATCAGAGATAAACGGTATGGACTAAACTACCAGTTAGAAGTTTAAAAGCTCTTAGTCTTCTCGAAACTCTCATTGCAAGGTAAAAGTATTCATCATCGTGTCTTTAGTTCTACTGGAATATCGTTCGATTGAGTTAAAATTTTTACCATAGACATCAAAGATTCGAAGAATGGACGACATAGCATCAAAGACAATATTGTTTTTAGGAAAACGGATTTATCACTCGGGAATATTTACTTATTAGAGATATTTCAACATCATTCTGTTGCTGACTTATTCTCAGTTATTGTGAAAGCTTTAGTATTCTGTATACTCAAAAAAAATTTAAAACTTTTTCGTATTAAAAAACCGTGTTAGTCCTCATCACTATCGATCAAACTTTTACAGATAGATAAGAGAAGAAATTTATATAAAGAAGAAACGTCCAGAGAAAATATTTCTTGCATTCTTCTGATGTGAACTACTCACATATATCTTTAATTATATTATGAGTTTTGAAGCAAACAAAAAGGCAAGACATAAAAAGTTTTGAACAAAATATTCTAGCCGGATTGAAAAATTATAAATCAAACACATTTGCGAATAATTACAGACTGTATCAGTTGCAAACATCACGAAACTTGTGTGAATTGTTAGTACTTACAGTTCTCTGACTGTTCTTTCTCACTCAATATTTTATTTTTTTCCGTTTTCCCTCAATATAAAATACACATTGTATGCAATGATTCGTTGTAACCGTCGTTAATGCGCAAAAAAGTGTGCATGTTAAAAGAACGTTGTGTATGTTGAGTTTTTTTACTTTCTAAAAACATAGTTCTTGGATAAATCAATCATCTTCTGTAGAGAGAAACTGATGTGCTCTCATAATATTGAAAAAATATACATAGAGTATAGATACACATAGACATTCGTTTGTATAATGTCGATATGGTGTGCATATAGAAATCTGCAACTCCATAGTGTTTTTTCGCAACTAAAGCTGTACTCTCTGAATAGGTAGGCGTTCTTACCTGTGTAAATGAAGAGAAAAACAGTCCGTTATTTTTTCATACGATGCTTGACCATTTTCTTATAGAACAACTATTCATATACCAACTGATAATAAGAGTAAATCATACGTTTATTCACCATACCACTTTTTCCAAAATTTTAAACGATGGATCAATATGATGAATCAACGAAGAATGATGCGATTTCTTTTGAAGATGAATCATACACTTCCGGCTAAACCCAAGTATATAGAAGTCAGCAGTGAAATTCAATAATTTCGTTCATACTGTTCATCCTCATAATAGTTTTACACTGTAACGAAACCGACTCTATAGAAGATTTTCGGATAAAACTGGTTTTTGTGTTGAGGTGAAAATAACCGAATGATAGTACTCCGTTTTTGAATTGTTCAATAAAACTTGTATCCAACTCTAACTCATAAAAAATAACTTGTAAAACACAGTTTTAGCGATTCAGTTTTTTGTAAACTCGCAAATCATTTAAAAAATCACTCGACTTCTAGCCATCTTTCGATAAATTTGACCATTGAACGTTAGTAATCTGCTGATATTAAGGCTATAAACATAGTACGTTGTATTGTACATACATACGTAGATTAATACACTGTTCTTTTTTTTTAGTTTAGCTATCTATGTCTAAAATATACTTCGTCTACATTGCTTCATGATGAAACCAGATAATAGACAAAGAACGAAATATTAGAGGTCAATGGATTAATAAAACACAAAAATGGTGCTAGAACGACTAAAAAGAGGATGAAATAGAGAAATCTTTTACTGACTTGTTGATAAACAATATTTTTGTTTGTATTAAACTTCAACGACCGGTCATCTACAACGCCTGTGAAACAACACCAAGCACGAATCTTTGCTTTTAATCATCAAAATAATCCTACTTCGTATTTTTGTATTGTACTTATAAACGGTACAACTCAGTTTTGAAAGAAGCAGATATTTTTTAAAAGAAAGGCGTCAGATTCGCACTGTATGGAAATAAAAATGGGTTTTGTAGTTTAAACTATTCGCAAATCATTCACTGATGCTGTGGAGCCAGTTTACAAAGAATTTAGTTGAAATAAACACAGACAGCAGTGACTTATCAACGAAGTGTTACATAGGGAATGATTGTTGTAGTCTAGGTACTTTTCATGATTCTACGAACACTAAGAATGTGTTTTGTCTCGTGCTAGCTGCACCTGTTATGGAAGCTTTAGAACACCATGTCCTACTGGATTAGTTTAAATCCATGATGAATTCTGCGTAGTAATGAATTCAAGTTTCATGCTTTAAACTTCTGAACAGAACGTCTCTAACAAAGTTTTTGAACTGACCGTTGTTCAATAATACCAACACCATTTTTCGTTTTTTCTAACTTTTAGTCAATAAATCTTTTCGTCAAAAATCGAAATGATCAAAAATCTGAAGCATAGTCTGAACTGGAAACAAACATTTTATTAACCCTTTGCCCCCACAGACGTGGAGATTAGTGGGATATCGGAAAAAAACGGATGTTTTGCTAGTGTAAGCTGGTACCATAAGCTAGTCGTTGCTAATAAGAAAAATTTTTTCATTTAATATAAACATAGTTATGATAATTTCAAGTTCACTTTGTATGATCAACTGCCGGGGATAAAAGATTAAAATGTTTTTGCATTTGCAACTATACGAAGCTCATTTTGACTTTTTAGAACACAGAAACCCTTCGAAAAGCCCTTTCAGATACGGTCACGCGTATAAGAAGTGGCTTTTGAGTCAAACACAAAACATAATCGGACGTTAAAATAATCTATAGGTAATTGACTGTATGACTAAACAGTTGACTTTTAATCAGCGAAAAACTGCCTATTAACAGTCACCGTTTTTTGACCATTGTTTCACCGTGAATCATTGCCTAAAAACAGACAGTTAACTGTATGTGCTTAAAAGAGAAATTCGTCTCGGTTGTTCACTTCCTGTTAACATGCTATTTTCGAACAGCCAATATATCAGGGAGAAACTGGCAACGTTAGTAGTTAAATGTCAGTTTTTAACTATTTGTCAATATGTTTTGTTTCGCTATTATGACTAATATAAATATGACATGGATGCTTTTGTGAAAACTTAAAATTTTTCTCTTCTTCGATTATAGGGATCATCGAAACTTGCCTCTGGGAGATGGCCTTTAGTTCTGTGACTGGTATTAGTGATGGTACCATGGCTTGATTTGATTGTAATAAACTGCCATTTTTAGACTTTAAAGCGTCCGCATTTTAAATGTCTAGAAATGGTTAACAACTTGTCTCAATGGTCTGTTAAATGTTCATTTAACAAACATTGGATGGATTATTAATAGGTATTTAATAGTCAATTAATTACAGCGTTTTCAATGCCCTGAGAACGTCATACAGCATCAGGTGCCCGATTTTTAGCTTGAGAAGATGTTGTTGACGAAAGTGATGTTAATCCGTCCCTACTTAAATCTTTTGATCAGCGGATGTAACATCCATCGTACATATCACCCTTGAATCATCTTCAAAAAAGGCTCTCCCGTTTGATTCATTCAGTTAGCGTGATGCATGATACGAAACTCTTTCCTATGCGTCACACAAGACAGTTCAAAAATATGCTTGTAAAAAATGTTGTCTGATCGATGTTTCTGATAACAGATATGCAGACCTATTATAGCGATTAAAAAAAATTGTATAGAAGTCGTAGCACGTACATGTGCTGTACTAATCTGGCAGACTTTCGGAGTGTTGTAACTTCTATGGGATATATTTATATATATATATATCTTCTAAAACGGGATATATTTTTAATATTTATCATAGAAACTATTCTATGATTCTTAGCGCAGTCAGTTTTCGCTAAAACTTGTGCAAACAACGGTGAGTTGCGATGAACTATAACGGCAGGATCCCATCAGATAAAATCGTGCAATAAATTAAGAGTTCATCAGCATGCTTGATGCATGGCACATTCAGAATGTACAATTTATATGTACATATAATAAGACTGTGAATTTAGAAGAGAGATGCATATATATACTAGTTGAAACAGGGGAGAACGATAATCGTTCTCCCCTGTTTCAACTAGTATATATATGCATCTCTCTTCTAAATTCACAGTCTTATTAGCCTGATGATGATACTGTGAAGTATCGAAAGCTCAAATGTTTTTCAATTATATTAAATATACTTAGTTTTATAAGAAACGTAAAAAAGTCAAAGAATGTCAATATGTACATATAAATACATAACTATGTAAGATGCCCGTAAGTCGAACTTTGAGCAAAACGTTTTTTTGACTTAATCGTACATATTCTGATTCGTCTCTTCGAGCTGATCACCAACATTACCTTTTTACTTCTATTGAACTACATCTTCAGGGAGAAAAACTCCGATTATGGAGAAGGTTGCACAAACCCAAAACGTTTTTGTTTTCAGAAAAAACATCATAACTTTTTTCGCTTTAGTTGTATAACTCTGCAGCTACTATTTTCAGATTCCTTATGAAAAGCTGGTTCTGAGAGTTATACGACTAAAGCGAAAAAAGTTATGATGTTTTTTCTGAAAACAAAAACGTTTTGGGTTTGTGCAACCTTCTCCATAATCGGAGTTTTTCTCCCTGAAGATGTAGTTCAATAGAAGTAAAAAGGTAATGTTGGTGATCAGCTCGAAGAGACGAATCAGAATATGTACGATTAAGTCAAAAAAACGTTTTGCTCAAAGTTCGACTTACGGGCATCTTAGCGATATGTACATATTGCTTCGTGCGTAATATTCCGAAAGGAAAAATTTAGCCTAAAAATTCTCATGTTCAAATTAGTCATTGATTTTATCACAATAGGCAAGATAGAGAAAACGGTTTGATTACAATAGACGTGTGAGTGTATTCTTTCATTAAACACATTCAATACATTAGAAAAGGGAGGTATCAGTTATGGTCCTTATTATCTATAGATATTTGTGTCGGAAGAGTTGCCATATTGACAGTCATCTGAAAACATTTCATACAGATACGTGTGTATTATGGCCTTAGAACAAAAAGTAAATAGTCAGGCACAAATAAAAGGGTAATAAGAAAGGCAATTTTTTTCTTTACATCAATAATGTTATCGTAAAAAAAATTTAGAATTGCCTAATACTGTCAAGTGAAGCAGTCAGCGATCCGTGTCAAACAGCTACCAAAATGGTAACGTGATGTATAACCCACTAGCGTGAAATAAAAATAAACGAAATAATTCGTCACGATTACGAAGGGTCTAGAAAATAAAATTTGGAAGAAACAGGTAAACGAAAGAGCGAGAGAGAGAAAAAGATAGAAATATCTAATTTAATACAACGTACGTATATAATTTTAGCTTGAATATACACATATACATTCAAATAAGTAACAAAACCGATTAGGAAAACAACATTTTATCACTACTATTATTATAAGACCTTTTGTAATCATGGTCAATCGTCTTACTTATTTGCTAGCAGTAGTGGTAGCTGTTTACTTAGTCTGTACAACATGTGAAGCACACGGTAGACATCAAAATGGGCCGTACTCGGGCTCGGGCTCAGGCTCGGGTCAGGGATCGGACTGGGGATCCTGGTCATATTGGTTCTCAGACACGAACGATCCAGCGGAGACTACAACAATGGACGACAATACAGAAGAAACAAGCACTCCTGATTATTATGAAGATGACACAACCGCCATATTGGAGACTGAAACCAGTACAATCGCCATGACACAGGCTGAAACCAGTACAATCGCCAAGACGCAGACTAAAACCAAAACAATCTCCATAACAGAGACTGAAACCGCTGAACCAGCAACCAGTTCAGTTATAACAACGAAACCTGGGGACAACTTATCAACTAGCAGTGTGTCACCATTAGAACGAGCTATATGGTGCCGTCTGGCGAACGGTAGCTATTATACACTTGGGTACACATATAAACTAACAGATTGTGTTCAGTGTCAATGCTTACAAAATCGAATGCTCCGTTGTACAGCTTTAACATGTATGGTTACATATTGTATTGATGGTTCTACTCCCGTAAAATATGACGGTCAATGTTGTACGCAATGTCCTGGTGAAGTAGCCGCAAAAAGTTGCACCTATCAAAATGAAACCTATGCACATGGTAAAGTTGCAAGATCCATATAAAATATCAAAACAATATATAATATTCTGTTTTTTTTTTAGGTATAGTAATAAAGACCCAAAATAACATGCAATGTTGGTGCCAAGATGGTGCAATTGAATGTCGTCAAGCCCAGGGTTCACTATTCGACGATTTCAATTTATTTGGTGATAATAGTTACATTTACGTTATCATCATAATAGTTATTGGTGTTTTGCTTGTTGGTTCATTGTTATGTTGTGGTTGTACAGTATTCTTTTACTACTACTACCGAAAGCGTCAACAAACAGCCAATGCAGCACAGCAACAGTATTGGAATGATGCAGGTTGGCAACCAATGGGAGAAGGAGATGGCACCCAACCAGAAGGCATGAGCGCTGAAGAAGAAAAACAAGTTGAAGCTGACCAAGGACAATTTGCAAGTGAGCAATATTTAAATGGGAATAAAGGAGTCACTGCTGAAGGGCAACAATATATGCCGCCGCCTTATGCTCTTTACAATGGTTCGTATTTGACAGAAGATTTACACAAACAAGTTTAAATGCATCCTCACGGTATTGGTACAATGTAACATTTTACTATTCCTTTTCATTTCAGTCCAAATCTCCACACAGTGAAGAAGTATTATACTTAATCTTCATTTTCTTCTTTCTGCATCTCAAATCATCTTTTTCTTTATTTTTGACCGGAGCGTGCTTCAAAGCTGTGATAGTATGAAACTGTACATAAAGCAGAGTATGTTGTTGTGAACTTAAAATGTGTATGAATACCCAGATCATTCAAAACAGACCATTAATGTCCCCAAAACGCACTCCAAATAGTCTGTTACAGAATGGATAAGGGAGGCTAAATTAAACAGGCCGTTTTTTAGGTCATTCAATCGACAAGTCATTTACCTCTTTTATTTTGCCGTCATCACTAGTCATCAATATTCTTCGAAAAACTTAAAAAGTTTACTCTTTGACGGCTATATAAACTGACAAAGAGTTCCTCGAGGAAGTACTTGTAATCTAATGTCTCATTCTAACGGCAGTATCAGCATCTAGGACTGGCACTAAGAATAGTATCAGTATTGTAAAGACTCAAAAATTTGAAAACTAATATTTTGGAGTTAATAAATGCGAAATATTGAACTTTAAACGTTGAAAAACGCTCAAGAAACGGTCCATAATACGGTTCGAGTTAAACCGTTTTATGGACCTGGGTATCTATATAGCTCTTTACCTTAACGTATGTGCTGTCTATTGATTCCTCTCGTCACTTAAATAGAAGTTTTAGATATACTTTTTTTATTTTACCATATATTTTCAAAAAGTATCCAATTTATTTTCGTAAATCCTTTCCACTTTTAAAACTTTTTCTTTATCTTATTTTTAATTTGTACCGTTCTTCATATGCATTTACATTATTATATATATATTTAATAAACAACAACTTCGCAGGATATTGACATCATTGCATATAGAATATAAATATTAAAGAAAATAGAGCATATTGACAAAATATTAAAACAATTGCGCCTATAATGATAGGAAATTAAAAAGATGAAACATTTAGGGGGCATTTTAAAATATATTCTTGTCGGTCAGTAGCTCTTACGCTACTACGCGACTATTTTTGTCTTCCACTGTTACATAACATATCATTTTATAATCATTTTTATATAGATGTATACAAGAACTTCATT